TTATAGAATAAATTATTTCAATTTTTAATTATAAAGGGATGTCTTCAAAAATTGTAGTAAATGCTAAATACTACCAAATCATCAAARCCAGAATTAATTACATTCMGATTGCTTGAAGAAATGCAACTCCGAAAATTTTGTTTTTAATCATTTAGTTCGAAATCATTAACTTCCACGTCTTGAAAAAAATTCCCATCGAATGATAATGACAATTGAAAATGTTTAGTCACTGCTTAATAAAACCAAATATACATTCACTATAGCATGTCAAATCACAAAAGAAAAGTAGAAGTCTTTCCCCACGATTCAATGAATGTAAGAATTTAGGTGACATTTGACAAGGCTCGTAACATACGCAAAGATTTTCTTTCACGAAAATAAGATAATTATTAAAAATGCATCTTTTGTCTTTTTTAATGATTTAAGAACCAACGCAATTAGAGCGGTGATTATTGGTGCTAAACTGCTAATGTGATCATTAACGAAACTCTATCAAACTAATTCTAAAGAAGATAAGCCTTTGAACCCTAACACAAGGTTTTATTTACATTTCACTTGTTAAAGACTTAAGAAGAGAAGAAGAAACCAACTAAATAACACAAAACAATAAACAAGGTTTCTTCACATATATATCAATAACTCAATAGGCAAAACTTACAAAGATTAGAGAGAGTTTACAAAACAGAACATGTTAAGGCTTTTCAAAGACAAAAATCCTCATTTTTGGAATAAACCCCTAAATGAGACACAAATTGCCTCCAAAAAGACCTACCTGAAATTGCAATTTCGATCTCATTTCTCTATCTTCTCACACAACATCAAAACCATTATGTCAACAAAACTTTTGTAGTAACACCAACACACAAAACTTCTCTCATTAGGGTTCTTCTTGCATCCCCTGAGATTAACCGCCTCCGCTATACTGTAATCACTTAAGACCCAAAAAAACCGAACAAAAAGAGAGCTTGTTACTTTGCTCCTATAGCTAATAATAACACCTAGCTGCAAAACTTATGGGCACGCGATATTACGAGGAGCGGTAGAAGTTGTTGCAATATGATCGACGAAAGTAAACTTGTCGATGGTAGTTCCAATGAGACCGAGATCGATCTCCACATCTGAGAAATCATAGTCTGGAAGTTCGCTTGGACCGTCACATTCAAGACCAATGATGTTCATATCATCTATGCCGCAGTAATCATCCAATAATTGGTTGTTCTCTTCTGTTAAGAGAAAATCAAGCTCACAAACATTTGAGACTAATGACTCATCAACGAAGCATCCCATATCAGGAATCTGTAGATCAGCGAAATCGAAATCAAAACACGCTTTCTTCGATATAACAGCTTCAGAATCAACTAGCTTCTTATCAAGATCAATGCTTGACACAACTTCAACATTAGACCCTGAGGCTGAGATCAGAGAATCAGACTCAATTGAATCAGACAGAGCATTCACGGAGAGCTCAGAGGAAGCAGCTGCAGCCAACGCATCGAACTCGAGCTTCTTAGTAGCATAAGCATTAGCTGCTTGTTCAAGCGTCTCGTAAGTACCCAACCAAGTTCTTGTTTTGGTGATTGGATGTCTAATCTCAGCAGCCCATTTGCCCCATTTCCTCTGCCTAACACCAACAGGCTTGGTGACATTAGAAACCTGAGAGGAGGCTTTGCTGCTTAAACCCTTTTTGCTACAAGTAGAGATTTTGGCACCATTGTTACTCTCCTGACAATATGAGCTTTCAGATTCTGCTTGACTAGTGGGTTGAGAGAAAGGAAGGTTGATCTCACAGACATAACGTTTCTTCTGCTGCTGACTCATTTCCTCTTCTTCACTAGATGAATAGTCAGTAGCGTAAGGATCATTCACAACGAAACGGATTTTTCTCATAGTCTTCAAATCTTCAGATAATCCAGGGAGGTGATTTAGCTTGAAAGTTTTCTTCTTGGGCTTCTTGCAGGGTTTACTGGTTTGAAAGGAAGACCTTTTCTTTGGTTCAGCCATTTTATCGAACACTTGGTGTGCGAAATTCAAACCAAAACCCTAAAAATCCTCTAAAATGGAAAAAGCTTCAAAATCCTCTCTCAAGAACAAGAAAAGTCCAAAAGATTTAACTCCAGAACAAGTCCTGATTCAATACCCAGAAACACACACCAAACCCACTTCAGATTCGGACAGAGAAACCATCGAGAATCATTAAAAAGGAACAACTTTTAGGAAACCCAGTTACCTTGAAGGCCTTAAACGCATGGAAATCGTGAAATCAACCACTGGGCAAGCAAGAAGATGAAGCTTTGATGAACGAGAAACACACCTAAAAACAGAGAGACTTTT